AATGGAATTCCCCTCCCAATTTCATGGCGTTCGGAATATTCGAATTTGTAACAAAATCCCTACTCAGAGTCTTATTTTATTAAAATATAAAAAGTTTTTATCATGTTTTCTAAAAATTATGGTGTTCTTTCAAGAAATGAAAGAAAAAACATCATTTCTAGAGCGAAATATCTTTTAAACTTCTGTAATTTCAGAATTATTATTTATTTATTTTATTTTATCAATTTGAAATTCTATCTGAAGCAAGCCAGTCATTGGCAATTTTTTTTTTAAAATTCCGAAATGAGAACTGAAGAATCAGGAGTGTTTCTTTCCTTTCTGATGAACAAGAAAAGAATCTTTAGAATACAATTCTGCAGAAAGAAAAAAAAAATTTTTTTTTTTTGCTGAGCTATTTTATTGCTTCAACTCTTTCTTTACTCTATTTTTTTAAATTTAAAATCAATAAATATGAAGATACAAAGTATAACAGTTTTGGTTATACCTAATATTTTAATTAATGTTATTATAATGCTTTTTAAATTTATTATTCTGCTTTTGTCAGAGAAAATAGTAGCTTCATTAAGTCATGAAAAGTTCTTGGAATTAGTCATGAATCTGATAATCTAAAATGTAACAGATACCCTGTCTGGAGTTGTTTGTTTTATATATTCAAATAGATAACATTGAAATGAAATCAATATATTTTATAAACAAATAATTACATAATTTAAATGTAGATGTTATTTCATTTTATATTCGTTGTTGAAAATCTGACCCAATTTTGAGTTTTCGATTACTAATGTCCAACTCCTTATCCCTGGATCATGTATTGGGAAAAATTTGCCTTCGAGGAGGACTTTTTGATGAATTTAACTCTTAACGTGGACAGGAAAATCATGAAAAGCTCTCACGGTTAGTGTAATGGCAAAGGGAAACATAGGTTTTAATCATAATTGCTTCTGATACACTTTTGTATAAAGCACAATTATTTTTAACGTGTCTTATTTCTGGAAAAAGAAACCTTAACTTGGCCCATTAAATGAAAAGAGGCTCTTTTAGTTACAAAGTTTCATTCACTGAGAGGGAATTTTATTTATTTTTGTATCACAGATTTCGTTAATATTAATGCTAAATTGATAAGTGTTCGGAAAGGTTGATAACAATATTTCAAGCTATTTTCATAATAGAACTTCTGAAATGCCAATGATTTTGACTGGAAGTTATACTTCTTGATTTTTGAAGTTATACTTCTTGTGCGACTTCCAACAAGGTTGCGTTAAACGTTTAACGTTACATTTTTATTGGCCGGGAAATCACGTGGTAGGATCCAGTTTTCCCTCATTCATTTCCATATTGTTTTGGTTCTCACAAGCATAAAAGTCATAAAAGTATTGTTTTTCTATAAATATTTTTTTAGTTTGTTTTGATACAAATATAATTTAATAGGGTAGTATTTTTTATTTTCAAATTTAGTGGATAACAATTGTAAAAAATAAGTGAGAACAATTCGCGATCGCAACGAACTATAGGGGGCGTTGTTGTATGAGACGCATACCTGCGATTTCTATATGAACCGTCATTCAGTTACTCTGGAGACGTCTTTAATGTAGCGTGTAGCATTGTAACGTTCCTTCTTTAATGTGAATTTGAAAAAAATTATCTATATTAAATTTAAAAAAGAAAAATGTTTGATATCCTTTCTTATACAACCGAAAACAAGATGGTATCTCTTTTTTTTTTAAAAGAAGGAACATCCAAAACACATCTGAAAAATATTTGTAAATAAACAGAAAAAAATATGTATCTTCTTATTAGAGTTAAAACCTAATGCCTGAGAAATAGTTTTACTAAATTTAATGATATAACCTGAAAGGCTTATTTAAACTTTTACATTCCATAGTTTTAGGAAT